TTTGTATAATTTTTTGCCATGATTTTTCACTTGTAAAGTACTCTGTGTCTAAATGGAACAGTGTCAACCTAGAGAGTGACAACGTAGACATCCCTTGCTATACATTACCACCAGTCTAAGGATCTATACTTAACCATTGCTGATTTGTGGCCAAACTGAGAAATAGATGACATCAAGATTAGTATAACTAGTGCTTCATGATTCTATTATGCTGCAGTACAACACTGGCAATTGTGATCAGATAGTATCGGACAATATATTTTTAGAGAATCTAGACAAATATGAAATTTACTTTGATATGAATCATTAACAGAATATATGCAGGGCCTTAAATTACTTACTGCATTGTTTAAATACAAGCTGAAAATTAACTTCTTGCTTCAGGAGGCCTTGATTTAGCCATCTGAAGTGTTTTACACAGGAACAGATTTTTACAATGGTATATTAAATTGGACAGATGCTTTAGCAGTCAAGAGAGACGCTAATTGCAGTTTGAGAAGAAACATCCTTGCTTGCCTTAAAAGTGGGTGTATTCTAAGACTTTAAGTGTATATTTAAGTGTACTTAAAGTGTGCTTTAAATGTGCCTAAGACTTTTAGTGTATTGTGTAAGGGTTTGGTATCTTAATTTTGACTTTTCAATAAATAACTCTATATATGTTTGAGTTGTGAAAGAAAAGAATATAATTTGTATTTATTTATCTTGTTTCATGTTTCATTTTCCAGACCTTAGTAAATTTGTTATCTGCCAGAGACAGCAACGTGCTTTTGGGTGCCCTCCTTGCTCTGACTAGCCTGGCAGAAAGGTAAGTTCAACTTAACGTGCTGTAGTTCATAATAAGTATTTTAATGATATCTCTTGACACAATATTGAAACTGCTGTTTATGAGGAAGACTTCTTTTTTTCAAAATAAGGCCTTGATCCGTGGAGGTCTATGAAGTGTGCTTAATTTTATATTGAAGCAGTAGAAACTGAGTAGAAACTTTGGTCCTTGCAGCAGACTTCTTTGCTCATGTGGAGGGCTTTGCAAGACTGGAATCACAGAATCTCTTTGCAATCTCTATGCAGGATTCTGTAATTCTTACTGACTTCCTGCATATAAAAGTCTTTTGTGCTGAGCTTAATACAACAGTGCCTCACAATAACCGGCAAGAATATTGTTCAGTGTAGTAAATAATGAATGCATACACTGAAATCCATGTATATGTATCCTCTCTTCACTAATGACCATTTTAAGTAAAGATAAGAGTTTTTTTTCCTGGTGTGGAGTGAAAAAAGGAAAAGGAAGGTACAGCACCTTTCATCCTTAATAGTTTTAAGCTGCTGCTTCTACATTATTGATCTGCTGACTTCCAGACTTGTATAACAATTTTATCTTTCAAATGAAAAATTATAAGGAAAATTAGAAAACTGAAGAGAATAGATACAATTCCTTGAGATCAGTAGAAATGTATTTACTAAGATTTCTCTGGATTTTCTCTTTTCCCAAATTTCTTTCATTCTATTTCAGTTTAATTTTTTTTAATATCAGTATTAATTTAAATGATGTTATATATACATTTTCAACTTCCATTTAACTTACTTCACAGAATTAAATGTGTTATATTTGGACTGGGCAAGAAAGTGTTTGGAGTATATTACAAATATTCATGGAAATTGTGTTTGATGCTAAAAATGTACCTCATTTGCTTAATTTCTAGTATGAAATAAATGAAAAACATTTGTGTCTTTACTTTTATGCATTCACATTTACTTTTTTTGTACTGGGAAAATTGGAAATTGTTGCAGTGTCACTCTTGACCGAGCATATTTTTGTGGCCTTAAATATTTGTGTGTACAATATGATATTATTACTTAAGACTTGAGAAAAAAATAATTGGTCAAATGTATGAGGAGGGAGGTTAAAGAGCAATGTGTTTTTTCATATAATTTAATTTGATATAAATGCCAGGAATAATCAATTTGTAGTCCAGAATGTAGGGAGAAGATAAGTGAACTCACCATTGTTGAGAACTTGCTGGTGATATTACATGAATACGATTTGCTTTCTAAAAGGTGAGACTTAGCTTGTAGATTAATTGTGTTAAAATATATTTTGACTTTTTCATTTAGGGACATGTTTATTTGGAGGAATTAGATAATGTGCCACTTTAATATACTAAAGGTAAAGTTCTGATACCTACATATTTTCAGTCAGATATTGATATAGCAAAATCTTTTCTAGTAGTTTTGCTATAAGCTGTCTCCTGTCTCTCCACTGATGGCCTACAGTGTGGTGCAAATAAATTGCGATGTTACCATAAAGTGATAGCAATCACTTTTCTTGGTGCATCTCCTCTTTGCTTCTGGCAGACCTGAGTGGTTAGATGGAAAGCACACTGAACTCTGACAGTTCTCGGGATGCCCAATATAAACTAGTAAAAAATTGCAAGAAATACAGCTGTTGTAGTTTATGCCAGGGGCTGGGTCAGACCCCATATCCCTTCAATCAGAAAATCATAAAGGTTCCTTCAGTTCTTTAAATGTCCTTTCATCTCAGCTAAGTCTGCTAATTGAGCATAGCATATCTGCATTTCAGTAAGAAACCAAAAGACTCTGAAATTTGATGATATGTCACTTATCCTATCGTATTTAAAATTCTGGAGAGATTTTTTAAATGTCATGCTTAATTATTTCACACATATGAATTATTTTACATATGGCTGAAGATAAAGAAATTGAATATACCAGAAGTTTTTATTTAGTTTCTGGGTTTGAAATTATTTAGATTATACGTAAACCAAAAGTTTGTTATAAAAACTGGAATTTGAATGTAGACGGGAAGCTGATGAAGTTCAGTGCTAGTTAAGAATAATTTTAAATTCAGATATGAATCTGAATTCATATGTTTCATTAAACACACATACAGCTCTTCTGCTTCAAGTGGAAATGGAGATCCCTAACCATATTTTCTATGGAAAGTCCACCTTAATTGGAATGAAGTTAATGAAAAATCTTGTATAAACCTTTAAAATTATATATCCAATCCCTTTTGTAAACATAATATTCAAACCATACTGGAGAAGAATCACGATTATGTGTGGAGTTATTCTAATTCCACAGGTGGATTTTTACAAGTTCATGCAGTCAGTGCTACTTGTAGTACTAATGCCATTAACAAGAAGGTGGTAGCATGGATGACTGCAGTCCACCTGGCCACCTCCATCCTGGCTGTGTACGCTTGGCTGCCTATGCTGACAGTCAAACTCCATGTAAATATAATTTCATCCCTTGTGTAAATTTGGACCCCCTTCTTATTTTTCTTTTTTTAAACAGTGACTTTAACCAGTTTAATTTATTTTTTTTATAGGAGGTCTCTGTTCGTTCTTAAACATTTGCTGTGTTTTTTTGCCCTTTGCTAACTGTCAATACAAAGCAATGATGGAGTTATTGTTAAAATTTCTTGCTGTTTTGTTGGGTTTTTTTTCTTTTTTTTGTCAGGCTCACGGCAGAGTTGCTACGTCTCCTCTGTGCAGAGCCACAAGTCAAAGAGCAAGTGAAAATGTATGAAGGAGTTCCAGTCTTGCTCAGTTTACTCCATTCTGATCATATCAAACTTCTGTGGAGTATAGTCTGGATTCTGGTGCAGGTTTGTGAAGACCCTGAGACTAGTGTGGAAATCCGAATTTGGGGTGGAATCAAGCAGCTCCTTCATATATTACAGGGGTAGGTTTTCAGTCCTCAACACTGTGGCAATTATATGAGATGGTTTCATATTTTAAGATATATTTGGCCAAGCCCTGTTTTATCAAAGAGCATCTTTGTTTTTTTCAGCTGTATGTGATGTCTGCAGAAATTAAGAGGCTATTTAGAACATAATGGATAAGCAGTATTTTTTTTCAGCTATGCATATTTCATTGTTATCTTAAGGTGTTTTTTGTATTTTCAATGTATAAACTAAATAATGAATAGATTATAAATATGTCATTGCTGTCTACTTAGTTTCCTATTAATCAGACACCTATTTAGTGAGCTAGAATTGTGAATACAATTGATGAACGTGGTAAAAGAATTTTCTGTTTAAAGGCTTGTTTGCTTTTTCAAAATGTATTAGCTAATTTAGTGAAAAACATACAGTTTTTCAGAACATCAGAAGTGGTTAACAAAGCTATGTTAAGCCATTTCTTTATGCTGCATTTTTTTGTTTTCCCAGGGAAAGAAATCTTGTTTCTGATCGCTCTTCAGTTGGAAGTTTATCTAGTGCGAACGCAGCAGGGAGAATCCAACATCTTCATTTGTCAGATGATTTGAGTCCTGATGAGATGCAGGAAAACACTTTCTCACTTCAAGCAGGTAGGTTTGTAAGGCCTAATCCTGTTATGTGTTTACTTACACTTGCACAAAGGGATTTAAAATATTTCAAAATTTAAATTGTAAACTTTTATACCTGCTTTAGGGAGTGGGAGCACAAAGTCAGCTGTGTTTATTTCTAAATGTGCAATACCAGCACATATTTTCAAAAAGCACACTTTTTTTAAGAAAGAAGCAAAGGATAAACTATTAAGTACATGGGAATCATATCTATTTCTTCCACGTGTGAAAACATCTCAAACTTACATATATATATATTTTATTTTGGTTTTAGACTAAGATTATTTTTATTTGATCATATTTTTCCCTCTATTCAAATTTACTATGGTAGATCAATCATGAAATGATTATTGATGGAACTCTTTCAAAGTGGTATTTTAAAGACTACCAGTCAGGTGAGAATTCCTCAGTAGTTATGGAGAGAATCCCTTTTAGAGGAGATTCCTCAATAGCATGTCAACTATCCATTCTGAAATGCCTTTTGGAGGATCATGTCTTTTGCCAGTGACTATAGAAGGACAATGCAAAATATCCTTACTAGTATTACATGAGCCTTTGCAGTATCTTCCTGAAAGCTGTAGCATAATACATAAGTGTTTTTGAATACCTTATCATGAACGTTACCTCTGAAGAGCTGGTAATGTGAAATAAATTGCAGTACCAAAAGTATTACCAGCATGGAGCATATTTCTGGGTTACTTCTGCCTTCCTTAAGGACTCCTAAGAAAGAGTAAGCACTGAACTTGCAGAGGTCTTTTTTAGTTCTGACTGAGTACTTGTTTATATTTTTAGCCTTCTGTACTGGGTGTGGGTGGCAAGGCTGTGTTAGCATGGGGGCCTGCAGAGGTGGCTTCTGTGGGAAGAGGTAAGGGATTGCCCTATGCTGGACACAGCTGATTCCAGCTGGCTTCACAACAGACCCACTGCTTACCAAAGCTAAGCCCATCAGCGAAGCTGGTAGTGCATCTGTGAAAACATAGTTAAGAAAGGGCAAAAATGCTGGGTGAGCAGAGGAGAAGGAGGAAAAAAAAAAAAAGGGTGAGAAACAGCAGTGCAAACACCAAGGTCAGAGAAGAAGGAGGGGAAGGAGGTGCTCTGGGCACCAGAGCACAGATTCCCCTGCAGCCCGTGTGAGAGACCTTGGTGGAGATGGTATTCACACTGCAGCATGTGGAGAGGACCCATGCTGGAGCAGGGGAAAAGTGGAAAGGAGCAGCAGAGTGGAACTGCTGGTAACCCTCATCCATCACCCCCCAGTGCTGCTCGGGGAGACGGTAGAGGAGTCAGGAGTGAAGGAGTGAAGAAGAGTCTGGGAGGAAAGAAAAAGATGGTGTGGGGGCAAGGTGGTGTTTTAATTTTTTGGGGTTTTTTTGCTATCAAAATCTATTTTAATTGGCAATAAATTAAATTATTTTTCCCCAAGTCAAGACTGTTTTGCCTGTGACAGTAAGTGGTAAGTGACTTCCCTGTCTTTATCTTGACCCATGAGCTTTTCCATCCTATTTTCTCCCTCTGTCCTGTTAAGGAGGGGGAGTGAATGAGCAGCTGGATGGGCATTTGGCCCTTGGCTAAGGTTAACCCACCATGCTATCTGAGTATCTTTATGAATCTGGCCCTAAATGTTACATCTGAATTTTTATTCTAGCTTGTTGTGCTGCAATTACTGAACTGGTGCTCAATGAGACTAACGCTTACCAGGTAGTACAGGTAGGAAGACTTCATTCAGTTAAGTAAGGCATTATAGTTTACAATTTGACTTAATTGTTCTTATTTGTCACCATCATTTAATTAACAAACAAAATGCATTTGAAAGGGATTGGAAAACATACCTTTATATAACTTTAGTATCTCTGTTTCTTTATACATTTACACACAGAGACATACACACAAAAATATCAACATATGTATCTAGTTGTCTGTGAGAGCAAACAGCCTTATTCAGACAGGGTTCATTTTGGTTGGCATCTCTTGCCATCCTTTTGCCATGTTCAAAATAGGATAGTAAATAAGAGTAATCACGGAATTAACTGAGAAATACAAATTCTGTATTTCATGAAGTTTATTAAACTCTGTGCAGCTTAATATTGGCAGCTCGTTGTTTCACAGTTTCCCTTTTCCTCAGAGTTTAGTATTTCTGAGATAACTTCCTGGCACTCCATCCCCAGGGTTGTGTTTCTAAACTGCATTTTAAAATGTAATATTTAAATCAGCTAGAATCTGTGGTTCTGAAAACCATTCTTAAAATCCCTGGTATGTATTCCAGACATAGTCAAAACCACAAATATTTAGGACATTAATACCAGCTAAAAGCTGTAGCCAGCTTTTACGCTTTAAATGTTAAGTCACTGATCAAAACCTTCAGGTTAGCTTAAAACCCAACTAGAGGTATTCCTAGAGTTATTGAGAGAACAAAGAGCCTTAAATATGACTGAGAAAGAAGTTTGTGTGTATTTTAAATCTCTTGGTTAAGAGGAAAGGAATGGAAGTAAGTCTAGGAAAAAAATATTTTCTATGTATCTTAAGCACTAAGATTGTCAATAAACCATACTGATTTAGACAACATTTTATCTGAACAATATAACTGTATACATTTTAGGCTGAGTCTAGTTTCATCAAAATAAAATATCACTTATTTAAGTTGGATATAATTTGAAAACAGTGTAACTCCTGGAGAACTTGGAAAATAAAAGGCTGATTTTAACATAGAGTTTTTCTGCATTGCTCTAGAAGTACGTGATAACTGTGGTGTCAGTAAATTGGGACAATGTACAGGTTCGAGCGTAACTTCTTCCCCCACTCATCCTGTTAAAAGACAATGACCTCTCCCTTTGTCAAAATGTCCTGCAGCCAATGTCCCCCTTTCAGATCAGGATGTAGCTTCAAGCATGTTAATTTCAACTGCAGTTCCACCCTACAACAGCCTTTCACTTTAAATCCTGCTTCTTTCTCTGTGCTAATATGACTTTGAGAGTTGCATGGTAAAAAAGATGAAGGAACTCACTTAGGTTAAAAACAGATAGAAGAAGAAGATTTGCAGCTCTTTCAGTTATGTGCTGAAAAAGTCAAACTAAGTGACCTCTAAAGGTTTATCTCATTCAGTGGCAAAGAACTGTTGGTTCAGGCAATTGAGAACTGTTTGCTTCTGCTGTAGCTGCCCTCTCCCTGTCCATCCTATGTCCTTGTCTCAACTTACAGCCTTGATAGCAGTCTGCAGCAGTTCTGGTAGCAGGCCAGGACGTGTTTATGACTCAATGGCTCTACTGCACAGCCTAAAACCTTGCGTCAACTCTGCCTTCATGAACAGTTTAAGAAAACATGTCAGGAACTGCAGCAGAGCCTCGGCAGAGCTGACACATATTCCCTTCAACTCTGCTAGAGAGGAGGGTAGTCTCCAACAAGGATCTTGTCAAGTAACCGGGAGCAGTACTGTAACTAAATCCACTAGTGCCCATCTGTCAAACCAACACGATAGGTACATTAATGGAGTACACAAGTATGGTTACATGAAAATGGAAGCTTAAATACAGTATGGTTTTCACAAAATCCTACTGAAGGCAGAGACATACGCCTCAGGCTATCCCTTCTGGTATTTCTCCAGTTTATATTTATGGATTTTTGGTTCCTGACAGATCAAAATATCCAGATGGTGACGGGAGATCTGTTGCTGCAATTTCCTTCACCTCTAGAGATAGAAGCATTGCTTCATTATCTGTTTGCAAGCTCTCTTTGCATATCAGTTTAAATGTAATGATGATTTCATTCTTACGTACGTTTAAGTAATTTGAGCTTGTAATTTAGGTGTGCAGTAGGATGTTGAGAACTTGTCAATTGGTATTAGCTTCTGATTTATCTGAAGTAACATTGTTTTTTATTTGTGGTTTCTATGCAAAGGAGTGCTGTTAATATTGACCTTTCTCTGTTTCCAGGCAAATGGAATATATACAATAGCAAAGCTGATTTTACCGAAGAAAGAAAGAAATGCTGAAAAAGCTAATTTATTACAGGTAACTCCTTTTATTATCATTGCACATTGAAAGCTCCAAACATTCCCTGAGAATTTTTTATGATCTTAAAGTTTATTTTAAAGTGAAGTAAAAATATCTTACTCAAAGCGGGGAAAAAAACCCACCAAAACAAAGCCAGGAATAACAAATGGCCCAGGAACTAAAAGTTAAATAGTGACTCAATTTCTGGTGTTCTGTTCTGATCAACTTTGTTTCTGACACCTCATTTAGTGTAAAGGAAAGTGAGTATTTTGCTTGCGATAATCTCTCCTCCACTTTTTCAGGCTGCCCAGCATCAGATCTTCTTTTTAGTGCCTTGGTCTTCATTGAAACTCACTGTAGATTTGATACTGTACTAATATCTGCTTCTTTCTGGAGCATCTTACTGTGGCTGTTAAATAAAATACAGGAAAACATCACATGAAGTAGCAAATTTAAATGTAGGATAAATATAGAGCTAATGAGCTTAGAATGGCTCTTGTTTTTTGCGTATCAATACCCCCCATAAATGTACTGGTTTGAGTCAACTTAGGCTAAAAGTTATCAGTAGTAATTAATTATCTGGTAGCTCTTCTCCAGCCTCTGTGAAATGGTGTTGGTGTCTCTCTAAGCTATAGGAAAGTAGTGGTCTGGGATTCAGACCACTGCTGCTGCTCCAGTCGCCCTTCTGTGGGCAAGTGTGAGGAGGTCCTTGGCACAGGTGAATGCAGTCAGGATCTTGCCTCCACCTGGTCTTTGTTCTGGCATAGCCCTACACTAACATGGCTACATAGCTATTCAACGATCTAATCAGGTAGACATGCCTGGATAGATTTAGGTTGGGGTGCAGATTCAGTGCAGTAGGTACCTTTCTTCTGCAATGAGATTTTATAGTGCACTTCCGTTAAATCAGATTAAGGGTGAGATAAATAAAAATCTTCCTAGAGGGTATATGAAACTAACATGGAGTCTAATAAACTGGACCATATGCTCAGTACAGTTGCCTCATACAACTGTAAGGAGCTTAACTTACGCCCACTGAGACTTTTAGACTCCAGCAGAATGCATTGGAAATAACTCACAAGAGATACTAAGCAACTGTAGTTGTGTTAAACGTGAAGCCGTGTGAATTAATAATAGACTTGACGATCACACAGGAAAACTAAATCCGTTTCAGGCAAACAATAAGAGGTATATTTTATTATGAAACCTTGTTTTGATTGTCACACTGCTATCTGTGTTGCCTTTGTCATTGTTACTGCCATGCAATACAGTTGCAGCTTTGGGAATACCCTTTTTTAATTTTGTAGGCATTTTTCTTAGAATTCTTAAAATAATGGTCTGGTTTCTTTACTGGTCTCTTGTCTGTGTTTTCAACGGTTAAATTTTCAGCTTCTTTCTACCATACTACTTTAGTGATCTTATTCTGTTACTTTAAGGGTAGCAGTGATACCAGTCATTTATTCTGCATATGTACCATATATAAAAATCACCATGCCTTATCTGAAGCGTATCACAAATGTTAAATTTCAATCTCACAATACTAGCGTGAGAAAAACAAATATTATTGCCATTCAAAATTTCTATTTATCTCATCATTAATCTATTATCATGTCCCTTCACTGATGGACTATGCTCTATGTAGCCTCTCAAATGAAAAACTTTCAAGATAGCAACTGTGGCCCAGCTGGTCTGGGTTATTTTGTACAGCTAGGTTGTGACTGTGGTTCTCAGTGGAATGTTAGACAAGGTAACACACCATCCTTCTCCTGTGATGGAGAGTTTACTTTGGACTAAAAAGAAACATTGTCTGTAAAAGAGGCAGCTTCTTAGCAGCATTAACATACATTCCTTTTCTGTGAAAGTTCAAGTATCCTCCTTCCTTCAAAAGTAGCACTTGGCCTTTATTTTCTTCATTTAATGCATTGTCTATATATTGAAAGATTTGTTTTTAACATGGGGATTAATTCTGCAGTTATCACTAAGACGCAGTCACCATTGTCTAAATAGGGATTATTTACAGACACCAGACTGTAGTAGTGTTTTAGTCACTGATGCAATACAGTAATTCTAAATTATGTTAAAGGCATTTACTATTTGCATTGTTTCAGATATCAATACCTTATTTCCCCTTGGCTTACTTTATACAGTCATCTTTGTTTGGTCAGCTATATATGTGCCATATTATTGACTCTTGAGAAATGGAATTAAAGATGAGTTGCATAAAAGCATACATATTAACTACCTGCCAGTGCCTGTTTTACAATAAACTTTCTTCAGTAGAGATCATATAGAAACTAAGGTACATAGAGATAGAAAATGAGGTACAGAAAGATCTCTGTAAATAAGATGAAAGTAGCATTAAAAAAAAAAAGTTGACCATTCTCTCTTTCTCACTTTTCTTTTTTGTCCCCTGTTAGAACTTACACTGTTCCACACTGCATTTTTCAGAAAAAATGCAAAATGCTGTTTCTACTGCATCATTACAAAACCACTGACTACATTTACCTTTTTCAGCATTGGAGAAGAGAGCAGGTCTCAAGTCCTGAGCTATCTGCAAATAAAAAGAGATGGTTAAGAGTTAGACATTCCTCAGCGTGTACTATAGCTAGTCACCCACTTTTTTTTTTTTTTTTTTTTTTTTTTTTTTTTTTTTTTTTTTTTTTTTTTTTTTTTTTTTTTTTTTTTTTTTTTTTTTTTTAAGTCCCCCCTTTTTTTTTTTTTTTTTTTTTTTTTTACTTTTTTCCCCTAAAAGGCCCTACCTACTTTTAAAATATAGGAAGAAATTAACATATTTTTACTCTCTTCATTATTAGGTTAATAACGTAATCTATCTAGTCATTTAAGTACAAAGTTTAACGACATGTAAAGTCAAGGAGAATCCTTGATGTTTATCAGTGGCTTTTACATTTGTGTATAAATTTGTCATTAATTTAAGTATTTTTCCTGCTGTAGTGTTATGCTTTCAGAGCCCTGAGATTTCTCTTCAGTATGGAAAGAAATCGACATATCTTTAAAAGGTATGTTAGCAAAATGTTTTTGTTCCTTTAGGATAGCTTTCAAAAGTCATCACTCCAATCAGAAAGACATGTTTTTTAAATGTAATTTATTTTCAACAAGAAGAGATAGTAATGGGCAACTTCTGTCCTGTCCACAGCTATGGATAGCCATTCCTGCATTGCATCAGTGTCAGCCTACAAGTTTTAGATGTTCAGTGTGGGGACTTCTATTGTATGCATACCAGAGAACCTTGCTTTGTAGGGGCTCCTTCCTTCCCCATGAATCAATGTTTCAATATGCTGAGGACAGTTTTAATACTGTTGGAGATAAACCGTACTTTTATCCTGAAGATTAGCAGATGCAAGTTACAGCCCTGGATAGTAGCAAGTAACTGGGAGCAGTAAATTCTTTCTCTGAGCCCTCCACTCCTTCACATGGGAATGACTTTGCATCAAGCTGGTTTACTTAGGAGTATTGCCAAAAGGTTTGGATCAATAAGGAGAAAATGTCTTTCATCAATTACCCATTTTTACTAGTAAGGTGACAGTTTCACCAGGTTGGCTACAAAGGCCATGTAAAACCGAACAGTTTGATTTGTGGGATTAGGGTAGTAACCATACTGCCTAGGAGGTCTGCCTGTCAGTAGTGTTTCTGTATGATTTTATTCTGTATCATGAATTACTAGAATTCTAGATGTAACTTTTGTATTATTTTTACTTTTTAAAAAGTGGATTTTGTACTGAAAGGGCCCCAGTTTGTAATGAATGTTCATGGCTGATGTCAAGTTTTGAAAGTGGTAAATCTGGACCGATTTGCTGTCTTTCATATTTTGCCAAATGCGTTAACTTTCTGTATTTCTACTTCTGCCAAAACTTTAAAAAGAAACAAACCTTCAGTTAAGCATGGCACTAATTAAATATTGCCTACTATCTGTTAGCTTTTGCTTTTCTCAGTCCTTTTCATCTTTTAGACTGGACTTCTTGAACAAAAATTCTAAGATGGGTGTTGTGATTTTTTAAATGCAGACAAATGTTAATCCTATCACTTAATGCATTGCAAGAAGCAACTCAGATAAAGTGACAACAAGCATAATATAAAGTACTATAAGAAAAAAGTAGGAAAATGACTGGAAACTCAGGAGGTGCATTGACTTTGAAGAGGCTTATACTTATTCGGAGAACTGGTATTTATATTAATACCCAACCCGTGGAAGCCGAAGTCTGATTTTTCAAAGATCCTTTAACTCCTATGTATGTAACGTTAGAGGGTTAATATCTGAATAGATTAGTAAAAAATAAGTGTATTATTTAGAAAGTTCTAAAGTAAGTTGTAATAATAAACATTGAAAAGTCTCTGCTGTAGATTAATAGGTACTGTGTACACTGTTTCTAAAATATATCAAAATTTAAACCTTTGTAGACTTTTCCCTACTGACTTGTTTGAAATCTTCATTGATATTGGACATTATGTGCGTGATATCAGTGCTTATGAAGAGTTGGTATCAAAGCTAAATTTATTAAAGGTAAGTTAAAACCTTCATAGCTTTAAGAAGCTGTATTCTTAGCACATTCTTAGCACAAGAAAGGCATGAAATATTTTTTATTTATGTATTTGTCATTTAATTTATAACCAGGAGGATGAATTGAAGCAAATTGTTGAGAGTATTGAGAGCATGAATCAGAGTAAGGCACCTACAAAACATGTAGGCAATTATGCAATTTTAGAGCATCTTGGCAGTGGAGCTTTTGGAAGTGTATATAAGGTAAACTTCCCTTTTGATATTAATTTACAGGTTTGAGGGGAGGCTTCATGAAGAGGGTCTAATACCTGTTTTAGGCACTACTGTCCTCTGAATTTCAGTAGGGGAATGCAGGTCCGAAAGGGCCTTTATGGATTTTGTTTGTCCCCTGTTGTATTTATAAGATTGACCAGTGTATCTATTAGGTTTCCTACGTTTACTTTCTTTTAATTCCCTTCCACAGACAGCATTTCTGTCTATTGCAAAGGCTAACAAATCTGTGTAAAACCACAGAAATTAAAGCATGTTTTATCTGAAAAGCAACACTGGGCACAGTGTTACTTCAAACACTGCCGCAAGTTCAGCAGTGTACTGCTAACCTGTATTGTGGGGCTCCAGTTCTTTTGGCTAATCACAGCTATGACTGTAGCTTTTGTGAGACAAATTTGGACTCTGATAATTAATCTGGTAGCCATAATAATATCCTTTCTATCCCCATCCTATATTAATTTTACAAGGGTTTTATCTTTTTCATAGGTTAGAAAACATAATGGACAAAATTTCCTGGCAATGAAAGAAGTCAATTTACACAACCCAGCATTTGGAAAGGACAAAAAAGACAGAGACAGCAGTGTAAAGAATATTGTCTCTGAATTAACCATCATCAAAGAGCAGGTGTGTCTCATGGACTCTAGTTTCATGTATGGGCATTCTGCTGTTAGCATTATTAACTCAGTTCTCATATAGCAGGGCTTCCAGCTGCTGTTACTATTTTTGTCTGATCAGTACAATATTGGGCACTTTTACCTGAATGCTGTCAATATTGAAAACCTTCTTACTGTAATGTTAGCAGCAATGCTTGTTACTTTTTGTGGTTTTGAACTTTTTTTTAGGGATTCTGTAAACTAAGATTGTGATAGAAAACTCATGAGTCTTTGTTCCATTTAATGAATTCTTGGATTTAAAATACAGTGAGAAGATAGTCTTTTTTGTAATTGAAAATTAAAAAACCCAGACTGATCATTAGTGTTCTTAGGCTAAGAAAGCCAATACTTTGGTGCAGGTGTAATTGCCTGTCTTCAAACTTAATTTACTCTCTTTCCATTATTAAGGGGAGAGTGAATAGGAATCATGCTGTGTTTTCCTCCTGGTTGCTCTAGTAATGTGCAACACTTCTCTGTGTTTGGGGTAGCAGTGAAGGTCTACTGCACTGCAGTTCATAAGCAAGTTCATGGAATCCTTGTGGAATTCTTCCTTCCAATGTGTAGCTAAATGTTATAAATACTGTGCCATCAGTTTAGCTATTCTAAACATCTAAATTTCTTTCCTCATTGTAGCTTTATCATCCAAATGTTGTACGGTATTATAGAACCTTCTTGGAAAGTAAGTATAAATGCAGAGAATTAGTACATTGTACATACTGAAGACATAGTATAAATAAATAAATAGTATAAATAATAAAAGCACTTATGGCTTGGAAGGAGTGTATCAAATTTGAGCAATAAATAGTAATATTTTCTTCAAGAATGCTACAGTTCAGACAGGCTTATATTCCTTTAAAATTGAAAAAAATTGTGAGAAATAGTATTTATATTTGTTTATCAATCAGTAAAACTAGATGCAATGTAAACATGTAGGAAGCATCGTTCTCATCCTGTAGAGTTAAAGATCCCAGATTTACAACTGGAATGCTAAGTAGGGAGAAAAGCTATAGTAACTAGTAGAATGAATGGTACAGATTGCTCAGCTGTATTGTCCTAATTTTCTTTTTATAAAAAGTAAGCTACAGACACCTGCTCACTGAGTGATTATCAGGCAGTGAATTCCTTATAGTTGCTGTGATATAAATTGAGGAAAAAATGGAATAACAAGGAGTAGAACTATGATTAAAATGTATTTGTCTGTACAAATAAATTTTTAAAAAGTAAAAAACAACAGCTTTTAAAATACATTTTAACCTCAAATACTTTATTTTCAAATGCCTTCTGTATAAATGTAATGTTCTATTAATTCATTTTCTTTTATGTAGATGACAGATTGTACATAGTCATGGAGCTCATAGAGGGAGTGCCATTGGGAGAACACTTTCACTCTTTGAAGCAAAAGCAACAACAGTTTACAGAAGAAAGAATATGGCATATATTTATCCAAGTAAGAGCCTCCATTTTTTTTGTTACCAGGACTTTCCTACATGTAATTAGTAACACCGTTTAGGTTTGTTAGGCTAATACATGACAAATTAATACTTATTATGTCAGGCACTAATATCAGTTATGAATTTAATTTTATGTGCCTTTATTTAGGTTGTAGTTAAGAATCTTTGTAAGGCTCGTTCTGTTTGTTTTTAAGCTTTGTCTAGCTCTTCGTTATTTGCATAAAGAGAAAAGAATTGTTCATCGAGATCTCACTCCGAACAATGTCATGCTGGGGGATAAAGACAAAGTTACAATTAGTAAGTAGAACTACTTTACTTGAAGAGAATTTGCCACGATGTACGTGAGTCGAATTTCTTTACTGAAACTCTCAGAACATTTCAGATTCCAGGGCGTTGGTCACCGTACTTGGAAGCTAGTAAATTATTACATCATTATACTGTTGTGTAAAATCATTACTAATGCAGGTTTTGTGATCGTTGCCACCAGGTGTCATCAGCCTTGACTATTTTTTGCAGCTAGGTACGCCAAATATGATGGAGGACATGATTTAGCCCTAAAAAAATTAAACTGTAGTTATGCTTCAAGGCCTGTTTTTATTTAAATCAGCAAGAATATCGAGATAACCAGATTAGATAACAAGTGCTAATGAACATACAAAGTACAACAGACATCTGTTCTATTCCAGTTCTCCCATTGTTTAGTACTCGTCAGTTGTTCCCAGTGATCAGCTGCAGTGAGGTGCTATTTGTCTAAGCCTTTAGTAGTGGATATTCTTGACCTACACTTCTATAATCTCCATAGTGTGGAGGAAGAAGCCTGGGCAAGTTTCAGGATAGGCTTTGAAAGCAGTATATGTGTGAACAGTACTCCAAAGTATGACAAAGTTTTACTCTTTGAGTGAATTAATACAACCTGGTACACAGAGCAAGCCTCACAGGCAATTCAGATACTGTAGTTTTTAAAGTTCTCAAAGAACTACTGCATGCTTTCTTACTGCTTGTGACACAGAACTAAATAAACAATTTGAATACTGCAGAATTGTTGTGAGAAGTCTTGATGCAAAAATCAGTCTTTCTTCTTTAAAAATAACAGGGAAGTAGACATATACAAAACACTCAGCTATAATAGGCAAATTGTTGTGGTTTAACCCTAGTCAGCAACCAAGCACCACACGGCTGCTCGCTCACCCTCCACCCCTTCTGGGATGGGGGAGAGGATCAGAAGGGCAAAAGCAAGAAAACTTGTGGGTTGAGATAAAGACAGTTTAATGGTTGAAATAATATAGTAATAATAAAAATTTTAAAAATTGTACCAAAAAGGAAAACAACAAAAAGAGAGAAACATAACCCAGAAAAACAAGTGATGCAACTGCTCACCACCTGCTGACCAATGCCCAGCCAGTCCCCGAGCAGTGATCGCTGCCCCCCAACCAACTGCCCCCAGTTTATGTACTGAGCATGATGTCATATGGTATCGAATAGCCCTTTGGCCAGTTTGGGTCGGCTGTCCTGGCTATGTTTCCTCACAGCTTCTTGTGTACCTCCTTGCTGGCAGAGCATGGGAGGCTGAAAAGTCCTTGACTTAGTATAAGCACTGCTTAGCAACAACTAAAACATCAGTGTGTTAATGAGGTAGCATTATTCTCATGCTAAATGTGCCAGGCCTTCCTGTATTTATATTTCAACCATCATCCTCCATACCATAGAGCCTGCAACCGCTTGGCCTGTTTGACTGCAGCACATGTTTCACATTCATGGATAACGTGTGCAATAGTGTCCACGGTTAAGTCCAACCCTTCATAATGAGCCCATCTATATGTTGCATCTCTTCCTTGATGGCCTGAGGTGTCATGGACCCATTGGGCTATAAATAATTCACCCTTATGTTGCCATTCCAGATCCAC